AGGAAGACCGTAGAAGAATTGATGCATTTGAGCTGTGGTGTTGGAGGAGAATATTGAAAGTTCCATGGGCTGCCAAAAGAACCAACAGGTCTGTGTTGGAAGAAGTGCAGCCAGAGTGCTCGTTCGTTGGAGGCCACGATGGCCAAACTTCGTCTCTCATACTTGGAACATATTGTTAGGAGGGACCAGTCGCTGGAGAAGGATATCATATTTGGTAATGTGGAGGGTCAGAGAAAAAGAGGAAGACCCCCAGCGAGATGAATTGGCAAAGTGGCAGCATCAATGGGCTCAAGCATGTCAACAATAGTGAGGTTGGCCCAGGTTCGGGCAGTGTTTTGTTCTGTTGTGCTATGAGTCTCTATGAGTCGGTACCAACTCGATGGCACCTAACAACAACAATGTCCAATAGAAGGAAACACTACCGGGTCATGCAATCCCCTCACAATCATTGTTATGTTTGAGCCCATTATTGCAGCCACTAGTCAGTCATCTCTTTAGGAGTCTTCCTCTTTTTTGCTGACACTCTACTTACCAATCATTATGTCCTTTTTCAGGGACTGGTCCCTCCTGATATGTCCTAAGTAAGAGAGGCCAAGTCTCACCATCTTCCCATCTAAGGAACATTCTGACTGTACTTCTTCCAGGAAATCTGTGATTCTTTCAACATTCTTCACCAATGTCATAATTCAAAGACATCAATATTTCTTCAGTCTTCCTTATTCATTGTCCAGCTTTCACACGCATATGTTGTTATTCGGTACCTTCAAGTCGATTCTGACTTATACATAACAAAACTAAACACTGCCTGGTCTTGTGCCATCCACACAATTTTTAAGTTTAAGCCCATTGCTGCTGCCACTGTGTCAGTCTATCTTGTTGGAGGGTTTCCTCTCTTTCATTGATCCTCCATTTTGATGAGCATGCTGTCCTTCACTCAATGACTGATCCCTCCTGATTATATGTCCATTGTACAAGAGATGAAGTCTTGACATCCTGGCCTCTAAGGAGCATTCTTGCTGTATTTCTTCCAACACTGATATGTTTCTCTAACAGTCCATAGTACATATTTTTAATGCTTTTTTGTTAATTGAGTGGAAGTTTACAGGACAGATCATCAGTTTTACATTCAACAAATCATACTTTGTTTTTAATTCACACATACCACACAAAGTGTACAGAGAGCACATTTACAAGCCTGCTTCCTACCCACAGGCACACAGTTCTTGTTCCATGGACCTATAGTCCTCAGCTGCTCTATTTCTCTTATGGCATTGCCTCTGCCACCAACTCGGCTGTCAGCAATTTTCTGGTTCGGTCCCATGTTCCTTGGTACTTTTACTATTCTTTTTCTAACATCATAATTCAAATGCATCAATTCTGTGGTCTTCTTTATTCATTGTCCAACTTTCACATGCATATGAGGCTAGTGAAAATACTACAGTTTGGGTCAGGCACACCTTAGTCCTCAAACAGATATTTTAGCTCTTAAATTCTTTAACGAGATCTTGGCAGCAGACTTGCCTAATGAAGTACATCCTTTGATTTCTTGACTGCTGCTTCCATGACTCTTAATGGTGGATCCAAGCAAAATGAAGTCTTTGACAACTGTAGTCTTTTCTCCATTTGTCACTATGTTATTTATTACTCCCTTGGTGAGGATTTTTGTTTTCTTTATATTGAGGCACAACCCATACCAAAGGCTGTGGTCACTGATCTTCATAAGTGTGTATTTTATTTCCTCTTCTTTTTTAGCAAGTAAAGGTGTATCATTTGTATATCACAGGTTGTTAATGAGTCTTCCTCCAATCCTGATACCACATTCCTCATGGTATAATCCAGCTTCTCAGATTATTTGTTCAGTATACAGATTGAATAACTTTGGTGAAAGAATATAACCTGCAGACAGACCTTTCCTGATTTTAAACCATTCAGTATCCTCTTGTTCTGTTCTAACAACTGCCTCTTGGTCTAACAACTCCTCATGAGCACAATTAAGTGTTCTAGACTATCCATTCTTCATAATGTTATCCAGAGTTTGTCATGATATACACAGTTCAAAATCTTTGCATAGTAAACATCTTTGTGGTATTATCTGCTTTGCTCCATGACCCATGTGATGTCAGCAGTGATTTCTCTAGTTCCACATCCTTTTCTTAATCTGGCTTGAATTTTTGGCAGTTCTCTGTTGATGTACTGTTAGTTACAACCATTTTTGAAATATCTTCAGCAAAATTTTACTTGCATGCCCTGTAAATGATAGTGTTTGATGATTTCCATATTCTTTTGGGTCATCTTTCTTTGGAATGGCACAAATACGGATTTCTTTCAATAGGTTGGCCAGTTTCCAAATTTCATGACATAGATGAGTGAGCACGTCTAGTGATTCATCAATTTGTTGAAACATTTCAGTTTGTATTCCATCAATTCCTGGGGTGTTGTTTTTCATCAATGCCTTCAATGCAGCATGGACTTCTTCCATAGTATCATTGGCTCTTGATCATATGCTACCTCTTGAAATGGTTGAATATCCACCATTTCTTCTGGGTACAGTGACTCTTCTTCCATCTTCTTTTGATGCTTTCTGCATCATTCATTATTTTGCCTATGGAATCTTTCAGTATTGCAAGTTGAGGCTTTACTCTTTTTCTTCAGTTCTTTCAGCTTGAGAAATACTAAGTGTGTTCTTCCCTTTAGGTTTTCTAACTCCAGATCTGCACATTTCATTATAATACTTTGCTTTGCCTTTTTGAGCTGCCCTTTGAAATTTTTGTTCAGCTTTTCTGCCTCCTCATTTCTTCAATACATGTTAGCGTCTCTACCTTCAAAAGCAATTTTCAGTTTTTTTCTGACATGCATTTTGGTCTTTTCTTTCTTCCCTGTCTTTCTAATGATGTTTTTGCTTTCTTCCTGTATGATGTTCTTGATATCATCCCCCAATTCTTCCTGTCTTCAATCATTAGCATCTAATGCATCAAATATGTACTTGAGATGGTCTCTAAATTCAGATGGGACATATTTAAGGTCATACTTTGGCTCTTGTGTAGTTGTTTTAGCTTTCTTCAGCTTCAGCTTGAATTTGCATATTAGCAATTGACGGTCTGTTCCACAGTCTGCCCTTGACCTTATTTTAGCTGATGATGTTGAGTTCCTCCACCTTATCTTCCCACAGATTTAGTAAACTTTATTCCTGTGTATTCCATCTGGTGAGGTTTATGCGTATGGTGGTGGTGGTGTGCCATGGAATCAGTTTCGACTCACAGTGACCCTGTATAGAGTTTCCAAGCCTGTAAATCTTTACAAGAGCAGAAAATCTCATCATTGTCCTGTGAAACGGCTGGTAGCTTTGAACTGCTGACCTTTAGGGTAGCCGCCCAACTTATAACCATGACACTACCAGAGTTCCTTATGTGTTTAGTCTACATTGGTTTCAAGAAAGTATTTGCAAGGAATAACTCATTGGTCTTGCAAATTCTATCACGTTATCTCCAGCATCATTTCTATCACCAATACCTTATTTTACAACTACTGATTCTTCCTCTTTGTTTCCAACCTTAGCTTTCCAATCATCAAATTACCAGTGCATCTTGATTGCATATTTGTTCAATATCAAATGGAAATAACTAATAGAATTCTTCAATTTCATTATCACGGGCTTTAGTGGTTGGTGTATAAATTTGAATAATGTTAGTATTACTTGATTTTCCCTGTGTGGTGGTTGTTGTGAGATGTTGAATTAGTTTAGTCTCAGAGAACCTGTATAGAGTTCCCTAGGAGTGACTGGTAGGTTTGATTCTTGGACTTTGTGGTTAGCAGTCCAGTGCTTATTCTATAATGCCACTTCATAGTCATATACATTTTATGCTATCACAGTCAGCATTGTACTTTTTGACGATGAAAGTGACATCATTTCTCTTGAATTTGCCATTCTTGGCATATTAAGCCATGTGATTATCAGGTTCAAAATGGCCAATGCCAGTCAATTTCAGTTCATTAATGCCTAGGATATCAGTCTTTATGCATTCCATTTAATTTTTGACAACTTCCAATTTTCCTAGGTTCATACTTGATACATTCCATGTTCAGATTATTGCATATTTGTAGATGCTTCTCCTCATTTTGAGTTGTGTCCCATCAGAAAATGAAGATTCTGAAAATTTTACTCCATTTGCATCCTGAAAGTTTTACTCCAATCATGTCATCATGGTGAGCTCTACTTTGAGGAGGTAACTCTTCTCCAGTATTATTCAGTGTATTTTCTAACCCGAGGGGCTCATCTGCCAGCACTATATCTGACAACATTCTGCTGCTCTCCCTAATGTCTTCATATTCTGGTAGCATGTCTGACTATGTGCTGCTGTTATTCATAAGGTTTCCAGCGTCTAAACATTCAGAAGTAGTCTGCCTGTCATGGCTTTGGTCAGGTGTACCTTTGTCCTCAAAGTGACATCTGTCCTTTTTAACACATTAAAGAAGACTTTTGCAGCAGCTATACCAATGAAATATGTTGTTTGATTTGTTAACTACTGTTAATTGTGGAAGTAAGTAAAATTACATCCTTATTGTTATCCAGTATTATCTTCATTTATCATGATGTTGCTTTTTGTTTTATTTGTGAGGATGTTTGTTTTCTTTATGTTAAGGTGCAATCCACACTGAAAACTGTAGTCTTTGATCTTCATCAGTAACTGCTTTTTGCTTTTAGCAAGCAAGGTTGTGTTGCATGCATATTGCAGGTTGTTAATGAGTCTTCCTCTAATCCTGGTGCCATGTTCTTCATACATTACAGCTTCTCAATAAAATGTTTAAATATTTTGCCATTTTACTTTTTAAATCAAAAACAAGGTAAGATTCTGACTTATTTAAAAATATATACAAGACTTAATTATTGATTTTTTTAGTTATTAAATGGTTAAAGTTTTCATTAGTCTTCAGATTCCTAGATAAAGAATAAAAATAGCAGCATTGATTTAGTAATAATTCATACTTTCTTTCTTCCACAGAAAATTATAGAAACCAGTGGAAAGAACAACATATTGGATATTCAGTTGGAAAAGACCAAGTCTTTATTAAAAGTGATACAAACAAAGGAGGTCTCAATTAAAGAAGGTTAGTTGTTTGCTACCTGAAGAAAGACTATTTCTAATGAGAACTTTTTTTTGTTCAACAATGGTTGTTTATTATTACATTTATAAAACATTTTAAATAGATCTTTTTGGAATATCATCTTTGGTAGCATAGTGGTTATGAATCAGGCTGCTAATCTCACGGTCAGCAGTTCAAAACTACCAGCTGTTCCACGGGAGAAAGATGAGGCTTTCTGCTCCCATAAAGATTTACAGCCTCGGAAACCCTGTACAGGGTTGCTGTGAGTTGGAACCGACTCCATGGCACATAACAACAACAACAACAAGTATATCATAAAAGATAAATTGGACTGGTTTTATTACCCTACCCTAAAACTAATAAATGGCAGAACTCAATCCAATCCTTAAAACCATGGAAAAGACTTGAGTCCCTGCCTTAGAATTACATGAAAAGAAACTTCAAAGGAGTCAAGAATTTTCAAGTTGAAATAAACCATACATGTATTTTCTATTTCTGTGAACTAAGAGGACTCAGAAGAATCAATCTTCCAGTAGCTATGAGCCTATCTAGTGTCCAGAATTTGATTTCTAATATAATTGTTATTAAAGGAACCAACTCCTTGGATAAATAATTAATTCTATGGTTTTGGCAAGAAATATATACGAATACCTGTAGCATTTTATGATGCCAAGAAGTGCAGAAGTGCTGAAATTAAAGGAAAATGAGAGAAGAGAATAAAACACAATGAAGGGACATAAGAACCAACTGAAAGAGCTCCCAGTGACCAAAGACAGGACCGTTTGGAAAGAAAATAAACTATTATTAGATTCAACCCAAGTGTTAAATAAATATCCATGAATTCATGCTGATACAAACAATATATTAAGTAAATAAATGGGAGAAAAGAGGCATAACTCATGTGCAAAAATAAATTCCAAATAATTTATTTAGATAATCCACCTTTGAGAAGGTGGAGCCTAATGCCCTTCTCACTAAGTGTGAACAGTGAATACTGACTTCCTTTCCAAGAATTCAGTATGGAAAGAGAGGAAAGAAGAGTCAATTTACAGTGGAGAGAGAAACCTGACAAACACTGCCCAGTCAGTTGATCAAGTTCAATATCATAAGTGATGTATTCAGATACTGGTAATGATTGAATAGCATAACTAATATCATTGAACATTAACAGCAGTGTCATTGAATAGCACCTATAAAAAATGTTAAAGAAACAAATTATTTGTTACATAAGTATATCTTTACCAGAATAAAAAATGTAATATAATCAACGTAATGAAGACAATCAATATTTCTAAATTAAAGAATGTGGAAATTATAGATGTTTTGTTATATACTTACTTGCTACAATTTTAAAAAATGTATATTCTTTAAATAGTATATAACCTTTAAATGATATAATGAAAATAACATTTTTATCTTTGATCTGCCTCCCAAAAACCTATAACCCCATTCTAATCATAATATAAGCTAATTAGACAAACTCCAGTGAAAGAATTTGTCTACAGAATTTCTGAGCAACTCCTCAGAATTGTCAAATCAAAAATGAAGTCTAAGAAACTCACAGTCAAGAGTAGCCTAAGGAGACTTGAAAACAAAATATAATGTGATCTTCAGGATGGGATAGTGGAAGAGAAAAAGAGCATTGAGTAAAAACTAAAGAAATTTGATTATAGATTGTAATTAATAATAATGTATTCATGTTCTGCAGCTATTCATAAAGTTTTCAGCGGCCAAACACTCAGAAATGGTCTGCCTCTCTGTCTTAGTCTGGAAGCTGCTGAAAACTGTCCAACATGGAGAACACTGATGGTATTTAAAATTACCAGTAATATACTCTCTAGCAACACAACAACACAGAAGCCAACAAAGACCAACAAACTGACAGATGAATTATAGATTCTGACACTTGCTCTTGAGCAT